GTATTTTTTTTTCATGGTGTTGCTGATTTCTTTGTTCCATATAATTTTTGGTGCTGAGCTTGTTTTGTTTATGAACTGTGTTATTACTTCCTTCATTGCTGTTGTTTTAGTATTTGCTAAATATTTGTGCTTGTCCTCTTTCTTTACTGTGGTGTGAAGGTTTATAATTTTTCTTTGAGGTTACCCTGTGATTTATAATTTTCTTCCCAAGTGTGGAACAGTCTGTTCTATCTTGAAACAGTCTTGACTTCCTCACCATTTAGAAGTTCTATAACTATACAGTTTTTTCCCTCATTTTGGTTTGTAGTTGTCCTCATTTGCCAATTGATGTCTCTGGTTTCCTGTTTACAATCTTGCAGGTTTATTTACTTTGGATACTTCCAAAATTGGGTTGGTTTCTGAGTTATGTCATCATGGGTGTTAATACTGTTGTTGTTTGCTGCTGTTGGTTCTCTGTCCAAAGGACTCCCTTTAATATCTCTTGTAAGGTTGGTGTAGTTTTAACAACTTCCCTTAATATCTTCTTATCTGTGAATGTCCTGATTTCACCATCATATTTGAGGGACAATTTTGCTGGGTATATAATTCTTGGTTGGAAATTTTTTTTCTTTCAGGCTTTTATATATACCATCCCATTGCTTTCTCACCTGCATGATTTCTGCCAAGAAATCAGAGCTTAGTCTTATTGGTTGCCCTTTGTAGGTAACTTTTTGTTTTTCCCATGCTGCTTTCAGGATCCTTTCTTTATCTTTGTCTTTGGTGAGTTTGATGATGATATGTCTTGGTGATTTTCTTTTAGGGTCTATCCTGTTTTGAGTTTGTTGGACTGCTCAATGGATATATTCTCATATTTTATCATATCAGGGAAATTCTCTTCCAACAAATCTTCAACAATTTTCTCTGTGGTTTTATTTGTGTCTTCCTCTTCTGGAATTCTGATTACACATAGGTTATTACTTTTGATGGTATCCCACATAAACCTTTGGCTTTTTTATTTTTTGTTTTGATCTTTTTTTCTGATTGATCCCTTTCCAAAGAACTATCGAGGTGTTTGTCTTCAATCTCACTAATTCTGTCTTCCATTGATTCAATTCTAAGCCTTTGCCCATTCAATGTGTTATCTATTTCTGAGAATTTTGTAGTAATCTTCTGAATTTCTCTCTGTAATTTTTTTTATCATTTCTAATTTTTTATTTATTTTGTCATTTTGTTCTTGTATTGTCTTCCAAAATTGTTCTTGGTTTTTGTCTGTGTTTCCTCAATTTTTTCAGTGTTTTCCTTGATTTGTATCTCAATACACTGAAGGTACCTAAATATAATTCTTTTGAAATCCTTATCAGGATATTCCAGTGCTGCTTCTTCCTCCAGGATGTGTTCTGTGTCTGTATCTGGTCCCTTATTTCTACTGCTTTATCTTGCTTCTTTGTGTGGGCTGTGATAATCTGTTGTCTCTGAGACATTGTGACATTTTTGTGTTTATCTTTATTTGGTGATTGTATGTTAGAGTGATTCACCCAAGATTTTTGTTTTATTTTTTTGTTTGGATGTTATCTGAGTAAGCAAGTTACTGTGCTCCTCTATTTACTAGTTGGCAGCACTTGTGCATTCACCACCTGTCTCCTTCCCAGTCATCAGCCTCCTGAATGTCTATACTGTCCTTAACAAGTGGAGCCTATTCTTAGGTCCCTGGAATCTGAATAAGAATGTTGTTGTTTTAAATACCTAAAATGACCACTGCTTGGAAACATTCAAAATGGCTGCACCCTCTGGACAGCTGACAGTCTACAGCTCAGTTTGTCTCCTACTTTGTCGCTACCCTTTTTAGTCTTCAGTCACTTGCTGAGCAGGAGCAATTTTTAGGTTAATTTTCAGGTCCTAACAACACTTGGAAATATTCATGCTGTCTGTGCCATCAGGATTGCTAACAGTCCACAGTTTCGTTTGTCTCCTTACTCACTCTTTTCATTCCAGTTCTCCTATGAGTTGGTGTTTGATCCATTTCTGTATCCTTCTTTCAAACCTTAGGGCTCCGGGATTACCTTCTATATCTGTGTCAATTGGTTTCCTTTTTGTTGTTGTTGTTGTTGAAGAGGGTCTGTGTAGTTTGTCTGCCTATTCCACCATCTTACTTGAAGTCCTCCTTGAATGTTTATATATGCAATCCCATTGCCTCTTGCCTGCATGGTTTCTGTTGAGAAATCACAACTTAGTCTTATTTGTTGTCCATTGTAGGTGACATTTCTTTTTTCCCAAGCTGCTCCCAAGATTCTTTATTTGTCTTTGACTTTGGAGAGTTTGATTATGATATGTCTTGTGACTTTCTCTTAGTATCTATCTTGTGTGGGGTTTTTGGAGCTTCTTGGACAGATATCTTTTCTTCCTTCATGAGGTGGAGGAAATTTTCTGTTAGCAAATCTTCCACAACTTTCTCAGTGTTTTTGTTTTTGTTTTGTTTTTTCTGTTTGCTTCCTCTTGTCCTAGTATTCCAATGAGGCATATGTTGTTTCTTTTCATGGCATCCCATATAACTCTTAGGTTCTCTTCATTTCTCTGAAATCTTTGTTCTGATTTTTCTTCATACAGGCTGGTGTGAAGGGATTTGTCTTCTAGTTGTCTCCAAGTGGTCCCCGGCTCACTGTCCTAAGCTATTGACTTTTTTCCTGTAATTGAGGAAAATATAGAGCAAACTGTTTTAATAATTCTTTTTGAATAACACTGCCTAATATTTAAAAATTATTAGAACTTACTAACATAACAGAAATTCATTCTTCAGCCAGTTCTAGTCTACTCTTTTGTCCTTCCGTTGTGTTGTCTATCTCTGTAATTTTAGTGTTCATTGTCTGGATTTCTAATTGCTGTTTCTGTATGAGTTCTAATTGTGTATTTATCTTATTATTTTGTCCTGGAATGGTTTTGCTAAATTCTTCCAAGGTAATGTCTGTCTCTTTGTTCATTCTGTTTGTGGTTTCCTTGAGCTCTTGGAGAGACCTATATATATACCTTCTGAATTTCTTCTCAGATCATTCCATTCCTTGTTCTTCTTCTATGATAGATAATTCTTTACCTTGGGATTTTATTTCTATTGTCTTGTCCTGTTTTTCCCCCCTTTGGTTTGTTTGTTTGATTTGAGGTTTCTGTTGTTTCCTAGACATTTTGAAGTTGTTGTCTTTCATTGTTAGTTATGTGTTGATTTATTTCACTCTGATTTTATGTTTTATTACAACTGAAAGTGTTGATCAGGTGTACTTTTTTGGTTATTAACTCTGCTGTATTGGGTTGCTCTCCAGTTCTCTCTGTGTTAGTGTAATCACTGGTGAGGATGTGGGTGCAGGTCTCTGTTTGTCATGAAGGGTATTTGGAATTGAGATGAGCAGGTGTTCTCCAACATCTGTTGTTGATTCGTGTTGCAGGAGTTACTGGTGTTACCTACTGGTTAGGTATTCAGTGTAATAACTCCTGTTGCCTGGTGGCAGTTTAATGTGTTCCTTCTATTGGATGAGGCACAGAAGAAGAGGAAAAAAGAAAAAGAGAAAATAAAAAGAATTAAAAAAAAAAAAAAGAAAGAAAAGAAAGCACCAATAGTGATCCCCAGTTTCCGTGTTTAGGTGAAACAGTTCATTCAGCAATGCCAGCACAGACAGTGTAGCTTGTGTCTTCTTGAGATATCTATTAATTATAATGTCCTACTGTCAATTAAAGACTTGCAGTTCAAAATCAATAGAGACCCCAATGGATAGAAGGCCACTACTTTCCACTTGGTTTGAGAAGCCACTACAACCCACTACCTTGGTCCACTCTGTGCTAAAAAGAAGTCATGGAAGGGTCGAACCCAAGTCCACTGCTGTGCACTTGCTCCAGGACTCTGCCTCCTCAGAGGGAATTTCTCCCTTTTCCCCTACTCCTTTCTGGACACTGCAGCATCCCAAGCTAAGGGGGTTGTTAATTTGTTTCCCAGTAAGATTATCATACTCACTCAATGCCCAAGGTTGCCACCATAAACTCCCCAATGTAGGTATTCTGCATCACCAATACCTCTGTGGGTTCCTTGATTATTATTATTATTATTGTTATTATTATTATTTTTACCTTCTTCCCTCCACCAACCTCTTTTGTATTTCTTATGAGTTCTCTCCATCTACATCTACATCTCTGATGGCTAGGTGGATTCATTTATTTTTCCCAGTTGTTTAATCTGCTCTTTTTCTCCACCTTCATTAAATCTGATATTTTATCTTCTCCTTAGTTTCTCATAATGCCAGCATCATTATTTCTAACTGCTTTACCTAGTTACTCAGGGATTGAGTTGGTAGAGGGAACAAATGTGTGGGTTATACATACACTGCCATCTTCTGGACCTCCCACGTTTGCTTTTCTTGATCCAATGTTCAAAGAGCCTTATTTCTTTCAATGTAGTTCTCTGCTCTCATTCTTTTCTTTCCAGTAATGTTAACAGTGATTTGGGTCATTCCTGGGATCACTGATAGACTAGTAGAAAAGAAAAGAAAAGTACCATCTTTTCTACTTGATGATATAAGTGGTCGTAGAATTTAAGCAGCTTTCTCCAACTGGTCCCTGGGTCACTGTCCTAAGCTATTGACTTTTTTCCTGTAATTGAGGAAAATATAGACAAACTTTTAATAATCCTTTTTAATTATAAAAACTTTTAATAATTCTTTTTCACTGCCTAATATTTAAAAATTTTTAGAACTTACTAGCATAACAGAATAACATTAGTATATTACTATATTAATAGAGATCATCATTTATTCCCCTCTCTTATGTCATTTTTCCTTAACACACTCAGTACTCAAAACATTTTCTATAGCATAATCAGCCATGAAAGCCTAATGCTTATTAATTTTTTAATTAATGTCACTTAATATGTGGTAGAGGTAGGGTACTTTAAACATAGGCATATGAAGTAAATATACTAATTACTACTAAATTAATTTCATTCATTGTGAATGAGAGAAAAGTCTTTGAAAATTTTTAACTTTCAGGTCATTTTTGTACCGCCATCTTTTTTGGGCTGATGAGTCATTTCAAGGCTGTTTGTTTTATATCAGAGGACTTTGTGAAGATGCAGTTAACTTCAAAACAAGTAATGGACAAGAAGATAATCCATCTGCCATATACCTTGTAAAGGTGGGTAGAAGTATACTACTATACTAATAAATATTGTTATAATTTTTATAAAGATTGGCACACAGAAACTAGAACAAATGGAGTTTTGAGTCAAAGGAATATAGATTTATGATCCATAAGGAAACTATGGATGACTAATATTCTAAGATATTTCCAAAGGACCTTACTCCTTTGGTAGTAATCTTTCAAATAACACATCTGAGTCCTAGACAGATTATGATTTATCCAAGACATAGAACCACCTGAAGACAGAGCTGGGACTTTTGATTATGTTTCATATTAAAAAAGTGAAATTTGTTCTTTGTTGTTGTTATGTGCCATTGAGTCATCTCTGACTCATAGTGACGTTATGCACAATAGAACAAAATACTGTCCAGTTCTGTGCCAGCCTCACTATCCCTGCTATACCTGAGCCCATCACTGCAGCCACCAAGTCTAGCCATCTCATTGAGGGCCTGCCCCTCTTTTATTGACCCTCCACTTTACCAAGCATGACATCCTTCTCCAGAGAATGGTCCCATTTGACAACATGACCAAAACAGGTGAGACAAAGCCTGGCCATTCTCACTTCCAAGGAGCATTCCAGCTGCACTTCTTCCAGGACAGATCTGGTACTCCTTTTAGCAGCAGTCCATGGTACTTTCAGCATTCTTTGCCAACACCACAACTCAAAACCATCAACTCTTCTTCGATCTTCCTTATTCATTGTCCAGCTCTCACATGCTTATGAGGCGATTGAAAATACCATGGCTTGGGTTAGGTTCATCTTAGTGTTCAAGGAGATAACTTTGCTCTTCAGCACTTGAAAGAGGTCTTTTGCACCAGATTTGCCCCATGCAATATGTCTTTTGATGTCTTGACTGCTGCTTCCATTGGCATTGATTGTGTTGTTGTTGTTATGTGCCATCGAGTTGGACCCGACTCATAGCGACCCCTTCCTTGGGTTTCCAAGGCAGTATCACTAAGGAAATAGATTGCCCCATCTTCCTTCCAAGGAGTGGCTGGTGGGTTTGAACCGCCAGACTTCTGGGTAGCAGTCAAGTGCCTTAGGCACTATGCTACCAGGCATTGATTGTAGAACCAAGTAATATGAAGTTTTTGACAATTTTAATCCTTTCTCCATCTATCGTGATGCTGCTTATTGGTCCATTTGTGAGGATTTTTGTTTTCTTTATGTTGAAGAGTAATCCATACTGTAGACTGTAGTCTTTAATATTCATCAGTATATGCTCTAAGTCATCCTCACTTCGGCAAGCAAAGTTGTGTCGTCTGCATATCACACGTTGTTAAGAAGCCTTCCTTCAATCCCGATGCCACGTTTTTCTTCATATAGTCCAGCTTCTTGCATTATTTGCTCAGCATACAGCTGAATAAGTATGGTGAAAAGACACAACCTGACTCGCTCTCTTCCTGATTTTAAACCATGCAGTATCCCCTCGTTATCCCCTTATTGTGTCCAAATGACAGCCTCCTGATCTATGTACAGATTCTTCATGAGCACAATTAAGTGTTCTGGAACTCTCATTCTTCTCAAAGTTATCCATAATTTGTTATGATCCACACAACTGAATGCCTTTGCATAGTCAATAAAACACAAGTAAACATCTTTCTCGTATTCTTTGCTTTGAGCCAAGATCCATCTGACATTAGCAATGATATCCCTCGCTCCATGTCCCCTTCTGAATTCAGCTTGCATTTCTGGAAGTTCTCTGTCGATATATTGCTGCAACTGTTTTTGAATTATCTTCAGTAAGATTTTACTTGCATGTGATATCAGTGATATTGTTTGATAATTACCACATTCTATGGGATCACCTTTCTTCGGAATGGGTACAAATATGGATCTCTTCCAGTCACTTCTCCAGGTAGCTGTCTTCCAAATCTCCTGGCATAGCTGACTGAGTGCCTCCAGCATGGCATCCATTTGTTGAAACATCTCAATGGGCTTTCTGGCAATTCCTGGAGCCTTGTTCTTTGCCAATTCCTTTAGTGCAGCTTCAACTTCTTCCTTCAATACCATTGGTTTATTCCCCTTATCATATGCCACCTCCTGAAATAGAGGTGATCATCTATCAATTGTTAGGCCAGAGTAAACACAAGCCACCAACATTTCAGTTGGCAGCTTCCTCTAGGTGTCAGGCCCTGATGAGACAGCCTGATAAGACAACTGAGGTGGCAGAACCCGCCCAGGCTGGAAAGCCCCATGTGATGATAAACTTCCTCCCGTGAAGCTCCCTCATGCTAATTAGGTGCAAACCCATGCCAACAACTAATTGGACCCCGACATTTCCTTAATGTCCCCACTTAGGTCCTCTACAAGACTATAAACCCTACCCTGCCCAGCCAGGTGGCACGACTTCTCGGGCCCCTCTCAGGGACCCGTAAACCTGGCCCAGAAGCGCAGAATAAAAACTTCTCTTTAACCTCACTTTTGTGCGTCCTCTTCTCCTTACCGTGGCCTTACACCAATTATTTTTGGTAAAGTGACTCTGTATATTCCATCTATCTTCTTTTGATGTTTCCTGCATCATTCAACACATTGCCCATGGAATCTTTCAATACTGCAATTTGAAGCTTAAATTTTTTTCCTTAGTTCTTCCAGCTTGAGAATGCCAAGCGTGTTCTTCTAACTCCAACTCTTGGCATATTATAATAATTAACATTGTCTTCTCAAGCTCCTCTTTGAAATCTTCTGTTCAGCTGTTTTATCTTGTTGGTGCTCCCATTTGCCTTAGTTACTCTCTGTTCTAGGGTAAGTTTTAGAGTCTTCTCTGACATCCACTTTGATATTTTCTTCCTTTCCTGTCTTTTTAATAACCTTTTCCTTTCTTCATGGAGGATGTTCTTGTTATCATCCCACAATTTTTCTGATTTTTTTTTTTAATTTTTATTTTGATTTGGGTGAAGATTTACAGAGTAAATTCATTTTTCATACAGCAGTTCACATAATATACTTTGTCTCATGTCATTGACCAAAATTTACAATGCAACAGGTCCCCTCCCACTTCCTCCCCATAGTTACCTCTTCCCAGTGTCCATCCCTCCATACTCTTCTGCGCCCTGAGCT